ACATTACCAAATTTTCATTTAATTACCCTAGAGGAACATTAATCCAGTTTGTACAAGCTTTAAAATATTTATATCAAAAAGTGGTGTTAACTGATGCTATTTAAATTGAATTACTTTTTCTTTCTAAAGTTTAGGCTCGATCTGCTAAGGGGTCCATTTTCTGATGGAATCTAATGCTATAGATAAGAGGACTCATTATGTGCAGGAGGGATCACTTATTCCAATCATATAATAAATTCAAAGTTTTAGATTTAAAGTAAGAGAGGTGAAAAAGTTAGTTTTCTGTCAGCAGCTAACTGAAAAGTTAGCAACAATGATTCACCACAACAGAAAACTATCTATATTAGGTGGGGGAATATGAATATTCATTATCTGCACTCTAAAAGGGACTAAAGCAATTAAGGATAAAATTCACCTGCAAAATTACTTTAAAAGAGGAAAATTACCAGAGACAGTAAAACCCACACACACTACCACGACCAGCAAAAAACAAACAAACAACTAACACTGCAATCCTTTCCAAAAGAACTAGCATTCTTCAAATATGAAAAAAAAAACCAAAACCCAACCCCAAACCAAACCCCAAAACACAGACAGAAGTGGAAATACTTTTCTCCCCTGCAGGAAATAACTATATGAGAAGTCCACAAAAAGGAAAGCCTGGTGCTAACAACCAAGGCCACCTATAAGCACCCATAAGATAAGGAAGCATATCAGAACTACTCCAGTATCTGCTAGAGGAGAATTCTGTGTCAAGGCAGCTTTTGTCTACACAGCCATGTCTCATACTGCATAGAACGGCCAACATGCAATGAATGAGGATCCCAAGAAGAAAGGGGGGGGGGAGAAACTCCTGTTGCAGTTAAATGCTGTTTTTTCTAAACCACTATGCTCCATTCCTACCTGTATGCAAAACTTGAAACGTTTGAATCTCACTTGAGGAAAACACTGACTAGATGGACTGAAACTGAGGCTTCGCAAGCTAGCATTATCTTGATTGCATTTCTGCTTATAGATGTTTTATAAAAGCTCTCTAAATAAAGATACCTGCATTTATCAAAACTAGATCTGATAGAGGAACATCCACAAAGAAAAACATAAGTGTTTTCTATTGCAATGTATTATCAGAAAAAATGTTTTTCACTTGTTTTACCAAAACCAGGTAAGATGGGATGAAAAAAGAATTTCCATCTACTTGAGTTTGTTTTCCTACAAGACCACTAGATTTGCATGACTTAGGAAAACAGATTTCAATGCACTCCATTTTGATCAGCAATTTGTTAATTTCTCTGGACCTGATTACACATCTATTTTGCTGAGGCAGATTAAGCACAGATGGAATCATCTGCTGTTCTTATCAAACAATTTTGAGATGAAAAGATGCACCATCTTTCAACTACGCATCAACACTGGATCTGGTCCCACCTGAAAAAGTGAAATACAGACACCAGATCCAACAGAAAGACATATATTTCCAGGGCTGAAAATACTCATTCCAGGAAGATAATAATGCATAGCTGATAAGTATAAAATTACTAGATTTGTGTTTAGGTTTTTTCACTAAATGTGGTCCAAAGTAAGTCCTATATAAGCTGAAGAAGGTGGTAGCTACAGGAAATAACCATTTTTAGATGCTATTTACGTGAACAAGAAAAGGCTGTAACTTCTTCTAACACAAGATGAAGACAATGGAGTTTGGGACTATCAAATAAGCAAATTAGGCATATCTGTCAATAAAACAGTTGGCAATAAAATGATCATAAGAATCAGTTCCAAAATCATCATATTCAGACTTCCCAAATAAACCTGCTGAAAGAGCTACTCCCTCCTGTAATGATGGTTCAAGGCTATCAGTGAATTCAAGTCCAGAACACTATGCTGGTTAAATTACTATATGTTCTGGAGTTGTATTTACACAGTTATTTTTTACGTAAGTATCAGAAGTACTTACTTTAAATACAAATAAATGAGAAATGAGATTGTAGAATACAATTTTGTAAAAGCTAGTCACATTAGGTCCTATGCAATGATCCGAAAAAAAGAAAAACCCTCTAACGCAAACCTCTCTCGAACCTCAAACACCTCTCTTGTGTTCCATGATCATGGCAATATGCCTTTTTCAGCTTTAGTTCTCAGACTTATTCTTCAAAAAATATTTCATCTGCTTTAAACAGAATGTGCAAGTATTGATAGACAGAGAACTAAACATATGGTGTCCTTTTCAGAAAATACAAGGTCCCCTGTGAAGAAGGAAGAAGAGGTATCAGAAAGTGGAAAGCTAGAAGAGCCATAGCTGTGATCTCAGGCAAACAGTTATGAAGTGAACCATAGATACAAGACCCATGAAGGTGAAGGAAAACTCTTGTGAGAGAAAGGAGAGCTAGAAGAGAGCTGAAGGTAGCTTAATTCCAGGCTTGCAGGCAGTAAGGAGTTTGAAGCAGTCAAAAAACAGTTTCTAATGCCCCTCCTCACACTAGAAGAGTCTAGTGACTAAGCAACTCCATTTGGGACAGAGGGAGATGCACGTATTTTAATGACTTTCCTCTGCCTTCTTTCAAGTAAAAAAGACCTTCAAAATTCAACACTAAGCTAGGATTCCTACACTGATCAGGATTCCTACCCCCATGTAAAGAAAACTGCTTAAAGTGAAACAGATGATCCTGGACACCACATTTCCAGAAAAACTAATTTTAAGCATTAGAGCCATTCAAGCAATTTTAGTCAGAGTAGCACCATAAACAAACCTGAAACTTTATCATCTTGTTAGCAGCTAAATAAAAAAATGCAAGCCAATCCGGTATGTAAGTGTCCATTCTGTTTTACAGTAAACTTTCATACAACCTATAACCTCTCATTTTTCATCTAGCTTTGTAACAAGCTACTAAGCAACGAGCACTTTATCGATCCATCCAGAATGATCTGCTGTGCACATTTATGAACGTATTTGGCAAATGTTTTGCATCCAGAATATAAAAGTAAGTATTTATGCAAAAATTTTTATGGTAATAATTAAGGTGTGTCAGGGACAAAGAATCTGGATAGCCTTAATGATTTGAGGACTCTCTTCTTACAAGCAGCACAAGTCTGTCCTCTAGCACAGCTTGTTGCCTTATTTTACTATCCCCAGATGTAAAAACATTTGCTGTATTTCTTTGATCTGTTAGTACTAACAAGTCATGCTTATCAATGCTTGGATAATCTTCATATGTACAGATACATATAAAAAAGTGGAATTCTAGCAATAACTTTTTTTTCCTTTTAATGACTCCATATTAACTCTATGAAGATCAAAAGTCAAAAGATGGTTTTGGTGTTGTGGTGGGTTGACCTTTACAGGCTGCCAGGCCCCCCCCCAGCCGCTCGGGGGCGGGGGGGGGGGGGGGGGGGTGTAAAATAAAAATATTTGTGGGTTCCGATAAAGACAGGGAGATCACTTACCAACTACCATCCCAGCAGAACAGACTTCACTTGAGGGAAATTAATTTAATTTATTGCCAATTAAAATGGAGTTTTATTTTAATAAAGGGTGGCGAGAAACAAAGACAAAACCCCCTAAAACTCCTTGTCCCCACCCACCCTCTTCCCAGGCTCAACTTCACTCCTTCATTCCCAACTCCTCTACCCTTCCTCCCGCCCCAGCAGGGGAAGGGGGAGGGGGGGCGGTGTCAGTCCATAGCAGCCCCTCTCTGCTGCTCCCTCCTCCTCACACTTCTCCCCTGCTCCAGAGTGGGCCCTGCCCACGGGCTGCAGTCTTTCAGCATAAACCTGCTCTGGTGTGGTCCTCCCCACGGACTGCAGCGTGGATACCTGCTCCGCCGCCCGTTCACCTCCTCCCGCTCTGCCCTGGGTGTTCGTGAGGCTGTTTCTCGCTCCTTTTTTCCTCATCCTCACTGCCTGTGGGGCCACTTGCCCCTTCTTAAATGTGCTCTCCCAGAGGCACCACCAGCTTTGCTAACGGCTCAGCTGTGCCCTGTAGCGGGTCTCCTGTGGAACCAGCCAGAACTGGCCTCTTCCCACAAAGACATCCCCACTGCCAACACCTGGGCACAGCACCCAACAGAGGTGTTTTGGGTTTTTTAAACAGGTAATCACGTAAAATAAACCTGCACTCACATGAACACAAAGCTGTTTCGTGCTTCAGTGCAATAACACAAACTCCCTGTTTCATGCCTATGGTGGCTTTGAAATACTAAGTCTGCCTTTGTCGTTCTTCTCTAAATACCACATAATATGAAAATATATAAAAGACTGGTATATTACAGAAGATGACCTATTTATAGTCATTTTGTTACCATGACTTCATTTAACACTACTGTAAAGAAGTCAGGATTTTGCCTCTCTCAAGAGCAGTCCCTTAAGACATTTCCTATAGAACTGCCTTAGGCTATAATGGGGGAGAGGGGCACAAAAATTATTTTCCTTGTAAAAGCAAGTGAGTAGCTTTTCCCAGGTTCCTTGTTACAGATTTTGGTATCTAAATTAGATATTAAAGCCTGCAAGCATCATCAGCACATGAAAGGAAATAGAAAAGCTGGAAACAACACAAACCTCATTCCTTTCTTTTCAGTTTTGTCTGGATTTTTTAATTAAGCAAATTATAGTAAAGCTCTGTCGGAATTTATAGATTTGTGCAATATTTGTAGTTTAATCTTACTAAAAATCTCTAATATTGTTACCATGCAAACCTTAAACACTACCTATCAAATCAGACAGTACTCATCAATTGCCTGTTGATGACTAAAGGTCAGACTTTACAGGTCAATACAAGGATGTCTCAGGAATAGGGAAAGGAACTGAAGTAATACTTGTGTGGGAGATGTGGATAGTACGCAGGCACCAAGACT